TTTATATATTATATAGATTTATTTAATCTTTTATTTAATTTGTATTGCGCTTGTAAAACGTACAATATAGAGATAGAAAACAATGCACACAATTTACACTTTCGAATATTTTGTTACCAGTAACAAAACGGAAAAAAATTATGAAAACAACTGCGAAATCTAAATTCATCAGAATCATTAAAGTGATAGAAATTATCTTTGTTAGAATTTAATAAATAATTCCGTATATATATTTTACAATATTTTGTTACAAATGTTAGTCTTTTTTTATATTTCATTATAATATGGAGATTTCTGTGGCTTTATTGACTTAGGTTTCGGCATCAGCATCGTGCCTAATTCTGTCAAAAGCCATTTCGTCGTACGCAATACAATGAAATGTACCGCAAATTGCATAATAAGAGCACCAAATCCTTTATACAAACCAAGTGGTCCTTCGGTCGAAATTATAGTACGATAACAATCGGCCGCACTGCTATATCCGGTTAATAATGGTGTAACACTTCTTCCGGTGTCTAAGTTATCAATAATGGTGCGGGTACCTTGAAGATGTAATCGATGAATAACAGTTTCAAGGGGATAAAACACGACATCCGCAGCACATGTCGATATAAGGATAGATTGCATTTCTATATCTTGGACAACACTTTCAGATAGTAAATCTTTACTGTATGCGCCCTGAAATAAAATAACGCTTCTGCAGATACGTATTACTCAAAAACATATTTAAAAAAAAATCAATTAGATACATACTCTTGCCTCCTGTGAATGTTTATGTCTGACGTGCATAATTCGACTAGATACTCCTCTCACAATTAGAGTAAAAAGATATTTTGATACTTCATAAACTATAGTAGGCGGTACGAGGGCATAAATAGGAAGAAGTCTACCCTTATTACATACATCCAGTAAGCGGATTGCACCATCACGAAAAACATCCAGGATTCCAGGACATTCAGAAGCAATCTCAGACTGAACTGTCTCCACAAGCGACGCAGAATAAAAAGGGGTCACTATAGCTATGGAGACACTATAAAATGTAAGATCATATACAATAAATGTGTTAATAAATTAATTACTAAATTATGCAATATTAATTTACATCAATATACATTCTTATATTTACCATTTGAGAAGGATATGTTGGCCAAATGCTTTCAAAGAGCTGTTACAAGTAATCTTCCTATAATTAAATATCGAGTTTTAAGAAGACTATTTTATAGAAATCTTTTCAAAAACACTACAAGATACAAAGCATTATTATTCAACGATCACCTTACTTTGGCCACGGCGTGATCTTTGAAATCAAATCCTCAACTGCCAATGTCATGCCTCTCACAAGTAACACTGAACCGATTCCTTTCCACAGTGTATTTATACCTTGAGTCTGATGTAAACGTACTATTACTGGAACTAAAGTTATGGGCATTAAATGATATTTTGTTGCGCCTGGATTAACTTGACACTGTCTTCGCAATACCACAAAAGGGTGTATTAACAGATTTCCTGTAATTAAGCTCGCCAATCCACAACCTAATCCCACATACTTGCTCAGAGTGGTATCTGGAAAATAAGTAAATAAGTTTATCAAATACAAGAGTTGCAAATTTGGTAAATGATTGGTTTAACCTGTTCCATTTAAATTTCGATAAAAATACATTCATTCAATATCTTTTTGCATAAAAACAAATGTTTGAAGAGAAAGAATCGCCGCTTGACAGTAACAAAGAATTATAAGTAGTAGAATTAAAAGTAACGATCGCGAGCGCGATATTTATTTACAAAATATCGAACAAATCCAGTCAATCAACATATTCTAAAAAAACGATGATGAAAAAAAGAAAACTCACCATCGTCGACGATCGGCGGATTGTCTTCTGCCAGAGGATGCATAACAGGTATATCTAGAGGACGGATAACCTCTCGACCATGATACTTTTGTGGATAGGGCGCATTCATCTCCCACGACCTAACGGACCGACCTCGATATACGCTCTCGTAGCCTTCTAAACCCGCCATTCTTTCTACAGGAAACAGGTCAACGAATTCGTTTTACTAAACATTCGCGAATTGTTTTTCCTCCGTTTACATCACGGAGCTTTTACAACGGCTCGTAACTTGGTGGCAGCCATTGTGGTTTTTCCTTCACCCACGCATTATTTTAAGATGAGATTACGGCCGTATTCCAAAATTCATTACCAGTACTGGAAATCTATAGTTCACGTAACATATATTATAGATTTCCAGTACTAGCAAGTGAATTTTGGAACACGGCCCTAGAACTTTGATAGAGACCCTAGAAATTCTTCATCCAATAGCCAATCGGTACATTGGACAAACGTTTTATAATGTTCTTTCTCCATCTTCTCTCTTTGGGTTTTTATCGGCACCAGATTGGTGAAGCTGGATGAAGTAATATCTAATGGGGAGGTCCCGTTTTTTCACAAAACGACAATGCTATTGGCTGCATTTAACAAAGCAAACAAAAAATTTTAATTATCAATATATTTTGAGATTTAGAAACAAAAGTTTTCTATAGCCCGTATCAGACTACGCATTGAAAATTGAGGTGGATATTAAACATTATATGTCGGATATCGGACATAGTGTGTACTAAAACTTTTCCACATTCTATGTATATAACAAAGGAAATTCTAAAGAAGCTTTGAAAGAAGAGATATTTTATTTTATCTTTATACTGTATAAAAATACTGTATAAAAAAAATTAGATATTTTAAAAGATATTTTAAACTTATAATTCTCGTTACAAAGAGCATTTCAATATACGTACTTTTTGTATAACAAAGTGTGCTGAGTAAATAATTCCCGTCTAATCATTCTGATACAGAATATAAAATCATGGTAACATTTTGCATTATTTATTATCGTTAGATAAACTCTTTTTAAAAAAATTATTCAACAATCTGTTAAATTATAATTTATGAGTGATATGACTAACATAGTTTTATCATCTGTAAATTTTTTATCATTAGAATCATATATAAATTATAATACTAAGTATTGTTTGTATGTCACCAATATGATTAAATGTGTTTACAGAATAATGAGCAAGGATTCTGTAGGAAGCCACTTCCATCTCCAAGAAAGGTAGATAATTGTAATCTTTTGATTATTTAATTCTCAGAATTATATAGATATTTTAAAATAAAAAAAGTTGGAAGATTTTAAATATATCTTTAGTTGGATAAGAAAAAATAGTTTGCAGTGATGCAAAATCATATTTTCAGATATATGAATATCTGAATGAACATGTTGTCGGTCAAGAGTATGCTAAGAAAGTACTGAGTGTTGCTGTTTACAATCATTACAAGCGAATTAACAACAATCTGCCAGTACAAACCTCGCAGATGCAAACCAACATTAATCCGACCAGTATGTAAAAAGTGAATCATATCTTTATTCACAGAAATTCTAAGTCATATAAATAGCAATGCCTCAATATTATAAGGTGTTCCAATATTATGAAACTTATTTCTATTATATTCAAAATTTATCATGTATTATGAAATCGAAGGAAAAAATTAAGGTGAAAAATCTAGATAATTTAAAAAGTACAATTCAGTTTGTATTCTGAAAAAGCAATATTTCCAGCATTTATTGAGCTCTCCTGTAGAAAAAAATATACTATAGTACACTATACTATCATGTATGATAGTTATAAACTATTAGTCTCTAAATTTGGTAGATAAATCATTTTAAGCAAATGGATTTTAGTATTTACATAACATTCACACAGTTCATCACACTAAGTTTATGGACTCAGGAGGCAAGCAAAACACGAGCAGTCAATCAACACCCAAGTCAACTGTATTAGATAGCAAGCAACATCAACTGAAATTGGTAAAGAGCAACATAATGATGCTTGGCCCTACGGGTTCCGGTAAAACGTTACTCGCGCAGACGATAGCGCAATACCTAAACGTTCCGTTTGCCATCTGCGATTGTAGCAGTCTTACGCAATCGGGTTATTATGGTGCGGATGTTGACAGCATCATAGCAAAGCTGCTTCAGCATGCTCATTTCGTAGTAGAACATGCTCAAATGGGTATTATTTTCTTGGATGAGGTGGACAAGATCAAAGCTGTAACTACAAAAGAGCGAGATGTGGCTGGTGAAGGTGTGCAGCAGTAATTACTGCAGCTGTTGGAAGGGAAGATTGTAAATTTCCAATCGAACAAGTATGTGTATAATTTTAATGTGCAGGACAAGACAGTGGATACGACAGATATTCTTTTTATTGCGTCGGGCGCTTATAGTGGCTTGGATAGGCTAATTGCGCAACGCAAATTGAAAAAAGGGATTGGTGCTGCGTCCACGGCTAAGAACCCAAACGATATTTTGGCCGATATCACCAATATGACACTTTTAATTGAGAGGAACAATAAGGACGAAGACATGCTGCAGCAGGTCGAGATCAAAGATCTCGTCGATTTCGGAATGATACCCGAGTTCATCGGCAGATTTCCCGTACTCGTGCCTTTTCGCTCTCTCGATAGAGATATGCTAGCGAGAATTCTCACCGAACCGAAGAATGCTATTATTCCTCAGTATCAGATGTTGTTTTCAATGGATAAGGTATATTTGAATAATCAATTAAATTTGTCTTTAAATTACAGATTAATAATTATAAATTATATGTTCAATTTCCATACAATACACAGGTGGAGTTAACGTTTGACATGAACGCATTGAATGCAATCGCCTCTCTGGCAATGGAAAGAAAAACGGGTGCGCGAGGTTTACGAGCGATAATTGAGTCTTTACTTTTGGAACCTATGTTTGAAATTCCAGAAAGTGATATAGTGTCCTGTCATATCACAGAAGAATGTGTAAAAGGTTTTGAAAAGCCGCAATATACGAGACGAGACGATAGAGATGAGGATGATGTTCAGTAAATGCAGCATGTACACAATTAATATGCATGTACGCAAATAATCAAAGGATACAACACTTTAATATAATAGGTGATAAGTTTCCTTATAAATTTGTTTTACAATAAATATTTTTTATATGAAAATTAAATTAGACCATTTAATAAATTACTATTTTACTTTTATTTTTATAAAATATGATATCTGTAATATTCTATAACTATCTCTGATAATTATTTTGTATCTAATATACAAATGTATTATTATCGGTTAAGATTGATATTAAATGATTGACATTATTAACATTAAATGATATGTTGTCGTGCCTGAATTAACTTGACACTGCCTTTGCAACATGACAAAAGTATGTATCAACAGGTTTCCCATAATTAAGCGGACCGACTTCTATATACGTTCTCGTCGCTCTCTAAACTTGCCATTCTTCCTATAGAAAACGAGGCGATGATAAGTTTGTTTTACTTTTTTTACAGTGATTTTACTGAACAATTGCACGAACGTCTACCATTGTTCATTCCATGGAACTCATGATATGCTGGCTTAAAACTTGGTGGCAGACATTTTGATTTTTTTCCCATCTCGCACATTACTGCATGGCGAGATTACATTTGTGCAAATAAATATTTGTCAAACGTATTAATTGGATAGAGCATTTCTAGAATCCTCGAAAGAGATTTTAGAAATTCTTTATATTCGATATAATAATAAGCCTCGTAAATCGGTACATGCATGTGACAGATACATTTCATAGGGAAGTTTTTTCTTTTCTTGGGTTTTTATTAGCTGATTGACGAAGTAAAGTCCTAATGGAGAAATTTTTGGAAATTAAGAGATAAGAAATAGTATTATATTTTTATGCTTGCATAATTGGCTTTAAGGATGAAATTTATATATAATTCGTTGTTAAACATTTTAATTTACAAAATTTTATGTACAATAAAATGCGTTGAATAATTCTCGTTTGATGCAGAATATGAAATCATGATAACATTTTGCATTACGTATTGCATTAGATAAATTCTTTATCTCCTATATAACCTCCTTTATAATATTGACATGATGTGTTATTCTCTCATTGTATATCTATTCTTAACAATTAAAAATTAACAATCTAAAAAGCTCTTTCCCTTTCTGCACTTTTCTAATCTCATTTAAAATTCCAGTATAAAATTTTCTGATATTTACATACTCTTATACCATTTTTTATGTTCCTTTATAAAACTAATCTATTTTTCGAATTTTTAGATATTTATAAAAATATGACCAAATTAAACACGATCGAAACATTTGTATACTAATAATAATGTGTTTTCTCATGCGTTGTTCCAAATATAGCACAGATCTAATATACGTATATAAGTACATATTTCATACTTGGACCCTAGTTCTTGTTTTCATAAATTAAATTATTTCCACTTCGCTATATTTGTTTAATTACATTTAGTTAATTCTTATTTTAAAGCTGCTATATTTATCGCAATGTAAAAAACTGTATATTGTACGAAAAAATTTGTTATCACGTTTGCCTTGGTATTTTATCGCTCCACTCTAGCTCGGGCCGAATAAACTCTAAATCGCTGCCGTCCTCGGAGCTATTGTCGTCGTCGAAATACGGCCTTGTAACTTCATTATCATTCGGAGAATTCCCTACATTAAGATAAATAAAAATTAGCATTTTTGTGTACATATTGAGATTTGTAAGATTATTTTGAATCGTAGTATGTGCAATAAAAATAATTACTACCGTCTGTTGGTCTTCGAAATATCACAATTTCCTTCTCGTCATCGTCGAAAAAGCTACCGCCGTCCTTTAATAAACTGAACGCGTATCCTTTTCTGCTTTTCTCCGAGTCTTCCGAAGATTGGCATCTCGTGCAGATATATATGCAGCACAATACGATACCGAAGCATATCATACCTGCAATAGGATTATGTTGCATTATGTTAAAAATTTATATTGAGAATAAATCATTTAACGATATCTTTTTCATTTCACATCTTTAATTATTCCCGTTCGGTAAATATCTCGTAATTCTGATATTTACCTGTTATCATAATGAATACTAGTCTTGGTATCCCTATGATATTGTCGTCACGGATGAGCTTGAACATCAATCTCGAATATTTCCTCGTTTCGAATGAGTGCATGGAGAAGAGTTTGGTTTCCTCGTGATATCCGGGCGCGGTAGCTGTTACATTGTGATTTCCGGGCGGCAATAGAATGGAATAGAAGCCTGACTTGCCGTTTT